TGGTACAGGCAGGTTCCCCTGCATAGCCGGCGTCTGTGCGTCGCTCGGCTGTCCCGGAGTAGGGGGCACCGTTGTCGGCTCAGGCTCGTTGCCGAGTACAGGCTGCCCAGCAATGTTACGCTTGGCCGTATGGTTTGGCCTCATTCCCACCGCCTGGGGACCCCATCCTGGCGGAGGAAGATCATGACCGCGCATAGCAATGGCCATTTCTAGAGCATTACGCCATCTACCACGGGAGTATATCAAGTGTCTCTGCGCGTCCTGAGGATGCACGCTGTCAATGAGAGTCAGAGCTGCCAACAACAGCTCTGAGCTACCGCAAGCATCAGTATCCTGTTCTGTCATAATGTCAGCTTCGATATGTTCTTGACTCTCAGGATAACCAGTTATAAGTATCTCATGCGTCCTCATGAGGGTCTGCAAAAGGGTGCGTGGTCCATATTCGCCTGGAGCAAGCGAACCAGGAGGTATGAACGGAGTATCTGGTTCGCCTGCAATGAAGGCCTGAACAAATGCCTGAGACTCCATTTCAATTAAGTATTCAGTGGTCTGGGGATATTCTCCCATCAGAGACGGCCTGTTTCCAGGCGGGATTTCGGGCGGAGGTTCGAGGTTCCGTTGAACCTCGGAAGGCGAAGCCTCTATAGTGGTGTCCTCGTCGTCGCTCTCGTAGGCCATGATGTTGCCTGGGTTCCCGAACATCCAGTCGTAGAAAGAAAGAGGCTGGTTTCCCAGCGTACCGTGTTCCACGGGAGTAAGCTCGTTACTGCCCATAACGAACCGGCGGACGTACTCGAGGTAGTACGCGTACAATCCATGACCATACGCTTCGAGCTCGTCGACGTTGTCCATGCCAACAACCCAAGTGAAAAATATCTGCTCCATAGCCTCAAAGTCCTGGAGGCTCAGATATTCAATGGATGGTTCACTTGAGCCAAAATGGACTTCGGTCGACCTGCCCTTTCCATTTCCCTTCACTGGACAATCTCGCACAAGATGATCGGAACTACCACATTCATGGCATTTGAGAACCTGGCCGTATCTACCTCGCGGGTTTCCCCGCCTACCTTTGCCTTTACCTGAGGTCTCTCTACGGCCTCTACCACGGCCTTTTCCCCCAAAGAATATCTCATCATGTTGTTCATCTGAGAGCCTCTGGAGAAATGCCGCGACACCTCGTCCGTTCAACCTCCGAGGACCTCGCTTGCCTTTACCATTTCTTTTAAAACTTCTACGTATCCTCCTTCTAACACGACGCACTGGTCTTCGTGTGAACCTCCTCCACCTTCGTTGAGCCTGTTGTAATAACCAGAACAAATGCTCAGCACGCTGATTGTCGCTATCCATATTCATAATATCTGACCAATCTAAAACTTCAACACCATCTGATGATATAGTGTCTGTATCGGTGCCGGAGTCGAAATCCTCGTCTCCCAAGTAGGTGGATACACCGTCGGTTAGGGGGTTTGATTCCCCCCACAAGGAACGGTGTGGTTGTGGTTCTCTAGAAGGAGGGCTGGTTGCCCAGCTTGGTTGTGATCGATCCCCTGCTAATAAAGCAGTGGATTCTCCTGGGTCATCGGCCCATATGCTTGAGGGCCCGTTTCCAGGCTGGGCTTCAGTGGTCAAGGTAGTGTAGAAATTTCCACTACCAGATCCCCTTCCCCTTCCAAACACAGATCCTATGTTACCAGGAGACCGTTCGGATAGGTGGCCTATCGAACGCATCCTCTCCAGCAACTCATCATACTGTTGTTGTGTTCGGGGCATTTGGTGATTGAGTGGCTGTAAGAGTTGCATGGCTCGCTGGTTGCCGACGCCTAAGGCGCGGAATAGGATAGTGGTTAGCAGTTGGAAGTTGGGAAGGTCGAATCCCACCGATTGTGCCTCAAGTCGGGCCATTTCGAATCGGGTAAGGGTGACATCGATTCGTTCCCCGTGAGGCACGTGGAAGTCGATGAGTTGTGTGCCGGAAGTGAGCTGTCGCTCATCTTCCAGGCGTTCGAACTTCATGCTTAGGAGGAACATGATGTAGGTCACTGGGTCTGTGTGGACCCCATCGATGTCAGCACCATAGTTGATAATGTCAGGCGGTACCCTCATGGCGAGTGTCCTCGCTAGGCCACCTAGGCCGCGTTGTATTGCGGCCGCTTGGGCCTGTGGCGTCATACGTCCGCTTGTAACGTTGAGCCATGCGTTGACCTCGTAGATGTACTCACGAAAAGGTACATTACCTTGAGGGTCCCAATATGGGCCATGTGTTTGCCCATCGGTGCTGTTTTCTCCACGACGCATGTGTCCGATTGCTGCCCCCAGCGCGAACCATATAATAGCGAAAACGACTAGCCCGAGAATGTGTAACGAAGGACGGTTATGATGCGCGTTGTCGCGCTGGGGTAGCGCCTTGTCGAGTCTTCGAGGCGCTCTGTCTGGCGGGTCTCCCCGCCCCTGCTTCAAGTATTGCGCTGTTGGCTCGTTGCCGAGCGGTTGGTGGTAACGCACTGATGAAGCGTATACGGTACCAGTCTGGTCGTCTAGACGTCTTGCTCTTGGATAGATCCTCGTAAACGTACTGGGAGTGGTGGCGCAGGGTGGTAGGTAGTCACGAAGATCGTGCCGAAGAATATGAGGCTAAGAAGAGCAAGAGCTGACCACACGAGAGTGCGGCCAGCTCCGCTACCAAGTCGAAAGTGAGCCTGGTAGCTCAAATATGGCATATAGCCTGGCAAATTGCATCCATCGCTCTGCTGTGAAGGTACAGTATGAGGGGTGGATGAATAAGATAGGATAAAATCGATGTAATGATCTTTCCAGCACATAGCGAACACTCGCGGTGTCCGGGCAAATAGGGCGCGCGTGCCTTGGGCCAAAGGCAACGGCGCGCGAGCTATGCTCCCGATACTGTAGCATCTCCCAAAGAGCTACCCTTAAAGTCACCTTTGTCTGTAAGTTCATTCTCACGTGCTTCCATATTCTACGCAATGCATCAAAACCCTTGACGGCTATGGCTAATCGCCTGCTGAGCTCGGGGCCGCTACTGCCGTAATTGCTGAGAAGTCAGCCAAAATACACCATATGAGTCTTCTGTCGGATGTTCTTGCCGCCCGGCGTCGCCATCGCAGTCTGGCAGTTCACGGACAAAATCTCCCATTCCCCCCAGTTGAATGCCAGCCCATATTGCTCCCCAGCCCGACGCACGCTTCCAGGCCCGACGCACGCAGCGGCGAGGGGAGACGATTAAAAAAACCTAGGAAGTGCATTGCTACCGCTCGAGTAGGAGGAGGGGGCGGAAGAGCAGGAGGACGAGGAGAAGACGGAATCGTGCCCAAGAGGGGGGGGGGTCCGACTGACATTTCGAGCCCTCCACCCCAAGATGGCCTCCGAAACGGGCGGCAGGCCCCCGAGAGGTCCCCAAAGGCTCCCGAGAGGCCCCCAGGTAGTCCCCGAGAGGCCCCGATCGGGTCCGAAAAAGCCTCCAAGAAGGCCCCCTTGAGGCCACACCACGCATCCAAATCACGACCAACGGCAGCGGTGGCGAGGCAAGCCGAAGACCACTAGCTGGACAAACACCCTCCCCCGCCACCACACCCGACAGCCCGTTCTGGTCCCCGTCATCGGATATCGGACATCGGCCTGCAGTCGACGTGCCGCGGGGACACTGCAGGTGGGCGCCGGGGCGCCGCTGCGACTGATAATGAGCTTCGGCGAAACAGAAGCACAAACGAACGAGGGAAGAAAGAGAAAGGGAGACAAAGGATGGACAGAGGACGGCGACAATACCAAACCACCCCTCGCGACGATCTCCACCACCCTGCGCACTGTGTGAGGGCTCGGGATGTGTCCTCGTCCTCCACGCTGTGACGACGTTGGCGTGGACGGGCTGGGGCCGGGGCCACCTCTCCCGACGGCCCGCTGTGGCCCCCGTGCGTGAGGGAGCCGCTCCTCACGACGAGCTCCACTGCCCCGAGCACTGCCCGAGGGCCGGAGGCCTCTTCTCCGTCACGTTGAGACGATCTTGACGTGGACGGACGGGAGCCAGGGGGGTGCGGAGCGGAGGGAGGGCGCGGGAGGAGCGAGGGCACGGTGGAGGAACGAAGAACGAGGAGGGAGGAGCGAGGGCCGGAGTGGAGAGGAGCAAGGAATGATGGGGGGGAGGATGACGAGCCAGGATGATAATTCCCACGAGAAACAGAAGACTGAAAGCGGTCAGCTCATACTTGGGCGACTGTCAGCCAGGACGGTGCGACAGATGTGCGCCAAGCAAAAGAAAACAAAAGTGTAGAGTAGCTAGCACGTGGGCCATTGGCTCTCCGAAGGGCCTCGGCCGTTCTGGTCAAAATAATACAGGTGCGCGCCGAGCTTATCCAGGGCCATGCGTCTTTGTGTTCCATGGTTGATGCCGCATTGCTGCAACCACGATGCAGCATAGCTGGTGCCCTATATGGTTAGTGTCCCATGGCTGGTGACCTCTGGTCGTTTTTTTGAGTTCGAGCCCCGGGAGAGGCTCCCTATGGTCTGAGCACGTGGTTGGTGCAATATGGTGTTGGCTGGTTGGTGCCCTGCGGTTCGTGCCTTAAGGTTGGTGCCTGAAGGTGCCCCATGGCTGGTGCCCTATGGTCGGTGCCTTGCTGTTGATGCCATATGGCTGGTGCCTTTCAAGAAAGCAGAATATCCAACCCCGCAAGCACCCCGACAAGCGCAGCCGTTTAGTAAACGCGCCCAAGGAAGGAATCGAACCGGGCAGGGCAGTTTAGTGCACGCCCAAGGCCGTCTGCTAACCGTGCCTTAAGGTTTGCACCACATAGCCTGCACACTGGGGATGCTAGACCCGACTGCTTGCGGCCCACGCGCCGCAATGGTTTTGCGCAGGCACGCACCAAATGGCCATGGCACGGAGACTGGGGGGGGACGGAGCATGAGGATGACCAACGGGAAGATGGAGGAGGTGAGGCACTCACGCAGCAGCAGCAAAAGGTACCGAAAGAGCCAAGTTTACAGAACTACTGGCTCTCGTCGGGTACGAAAGCCATCTCCGTGTCTTTTGAGTCGCAGTAGCTGTCCCACACACTCTTGCGCTTCTCGCACCCCTTCTTGTCGACGCCGTGCTTCTCCGCCCACGTGTCCTTTTTCCATATCTGGCTCCTTGGCACGCTCGAAACAGAGGCAGCACCACTAGGGACGCCCAACGAGCACAAATTGAACGAACTGGGCCGAACGACTGATGACGGACAGGCGGCGTCCACCGTGACTTAGAGAAACGCTCTCCTCGACACCGGCAGCGAATTCAGCCCAGGACGAAGAGGAACTGCTGTCAGCTATCGTCCTCGTTCCTTCAATCCCCGCTTTTCAGGGGCAGCGTGAGCTGGGAATAGGCTCAGGGCGGCTACGTCGACCCCCAATTGCCCATGCATCACCGATAGGGAGCCGTTAGCAAACTCCGCCCAGCAACTAACATATTCGCTATCAGCGGCCTGTCGCCGACCTGTGGGCGATGCACAGACGATTATACGTCGATGTTTCCCCGTGTGAGCCAGTCACCACCTAACCCTGCCCTATGGTTTGTGGGTTATAACTGGGCTCTTCAGCGGCCGCTCGAGACGATCTTGACACTCCCAGAGCGCTCTCGGCGAGGCGCAGCTGCTGGAAGGCACCCCGAGGCTGGGAAACCGCCGAGAGCCAACAAAACGGGTGGAACGCCTCGGCTTCGGCCCTGTTGACGTCCTCATGAGGAGGCACCCCGAAGGTATGCGCACGTAGCACCCGGGCACGCTGTCCACGGCCTTTGCGGCACGGGCCGCCTGCTCGGCAGCGTGAATCTTCGCCTCCTCGGCCTCAGTGCTCTTCTGAAGCTCGCGCTGCTTGGACTCCAGCTGAGCCTCCAGCCTTGCCGGCGCGCAAGAGGAGGCGGTGGCGAGAGGGGGGCATTTACTCTACACCCGCGCGGGCATCTCATTTTTCCCGATTCTCTTTGTCTGGCGTCATCCCGCAGCTGCTTGCAATTTACGGTGACGAAGCCGGTTTGCATGATACGCAAGCTCTCTCTCTCTCTCTCTCTTACCATCCTGGCGCTGCAACGTATGCGGACTGAAATCCGACCAAGGTAAACGAAACTACTGGGCGGCCATCAGAGAGGGCTGGGTGTGGAAGGGGGGCTTCTCAAAGGAGCTGCGACACGCTTGAGAGGGCCGCTTCGGGGGCAGGAAGGCATCCAAGAAACCACGCGAAACGACTGGGCGGCCATCAGAAGAGGGCTGGGGGTCAAGGGGGGCTTCTCAGACGAGGTGCGACACGTCTGAGAGGACCTCTCCAAGGGCAGGAGGGCATCCAATAAACCCTCGCCATCGCCGTCGCAATCGCCGCCGCCGCCGCCGTCGTCGTCCCCGTCGCCGTTGCCGCCGTCGCCGTCGCCGTCGCCGTCGCCGTCGCCGTCGCCGTCGCCGTCGCCGTCGCCGTCGCCGTCGCCGCCGCCGCCGCCGCTGCCGCCGCCGTCGTCGTCGTCGTCGTCGTCGTCGTCGTCGTCGTCGTCGTCGTCGTCGTCGTCGTCGTCGTCGTCGTCGTCGTCGTCGTCGTCGTCGTCGTCGTCCTCAACATCCTCGTCGTCCTTCTCAGAAGGCCGCCACCCTCGCCCCACCCGAAGACGAGGCCACGACCGTGAACAAAGTCGGACCGGGATACAGTGGAGGCCCGACCTCAGGACACGTTCCACGAGAAACGAGAGAGCGCGTTTCACGGGCGCTTGCCTTGCGACTATTCGGCGGCGCATTTCGAACGGGGGGGGGGCCCCCTCTCCCCCAACACTCGGCGCCGTCGATCAGAACAGGGGGACTCCCCTCCCCCCTAACCCCCCGCCCCTCCCGAACCCCCCCCCTTCCAAAGAGAAGGGGGGGGTTCAACCCCCCCCCCGGGCGCTTGCGCCGGCGCTGGCGGCCGCCGTAGCGCCAACGCAGCGACGATGACCAGAGAAAGCCCAGACGGAGGGGAGGTTCAAACCCCCTCCCCCTCCCAAGGGAGGGGGGGGGCTCCAACCTCTCCCCCCTGGCGCCGGCGACCAGAGAGAGCCCAGGAAGGGGGGGACACAGTGGCGGGACGAGCCGAAGGCCACACCACCACAAAAACCACCAACACCACCGCCACCACAGACCACCATACCACCACCAAAACCACCACAACCCACCATCACGACAACCACCACCATCACCACAAACCACCTCACCACCAGCACCACCAAAAACGCCACCACCACCACCAGCACCACCACCACAAACCACAACCTTCCACAACCACCACCACCAGCACCACAAACCACCACACCACTACCACCACCATCACCACCACCGCCACAACCACCACCAGCACCACAACCCACCACCAACACCACAACGACAAACCACCACACCACAACCACCACAACCACCACCACAACCACCACCACCACCCACCACCCACCACCACCACCAGCACCACTACCACCAGCACCAGCATCACCACCACCAAAACCACAGTCCACCACGCCACCACCACCACCGCCACCACCACGACCACCACCATCACCATCTCAACCCACCACCACCACCAAACCACCACACAACCACCACCACAGCCACCGCCACAACAGCTCACCACCACCACCACCACCAATACAACAACCCACCACCACTAACACCACCATCATTACTATCTGCCACACCACCACCACCGCCACAACCACCACCACTAATACCAGCAGCACAACCCACCACCACCACCACCACCACGACCACCACAAACCACCTCACCACCACCACCAACGCCTCTACCACCACCACCAGCACCCCCGCCGCCGCCGCCGCCAGCCACCGCCGACGCCGGCGCCGGCCCGAGGAGTGGGAGAGAGGAGAAGTAGAGGGGGGGGTCTGGTTCCAACCCCCCCCCTCCAAGCGACCACAGAACGCGCTTTCCAAGAAACCCAACTCTGAGACCCCAGGACGTCCCTTGATTTTCGGCGTGGGGACGTCACCCTTTCCACAACAAAACCATCGAAACCCAAGAAACTCAGGGCACCCTGGACCCAAGCAGGGTGTTATGACCTGCGGGATGCGTCGGCTCAGGAGGAGGTGTGGAGCGCCGCGGCCGCTCCAGCGCTCCCGAGCGATCTGGAGCGGTCTCTCCTGGTCCTGCGCCCGCCAGACAAAAGGCCGTCCCCCTCGCCCCACCCCCCGAGGAGGAGGGGGAGGAGAGGGAGCGGGAGAGGAAGCGGGAGAGGGAGGAAGACGAGGAGGAGGAGGAGGAGGAGGAGGAGGAGGAGGAGGAGGAGGAGGAGGAGGAGGAGGAGGAGGGGGAGGGGGAGGAGGAGGAGGAGGAGGAGGAGGAGGAGGAGGAGGAGGAGGAGGAGGATGAGGAGGATGAGGAGGAGGGAGGAGGAGGAGGAGGAGGAGGAGGAGGAGGAGGAGGAGGAGGAGGAGGAGGAGGAGGAGGAGGATAAGGAGGATAAGGAGGAGGAGGGGGAGGGAGAGGAGGAGGAATGAAGCAGTGGAGTCGGTGCGAGCCGCCGAAGCCTCTGCCGCTGCTCCAGCATCTCCTGCTCGCGCTGCCTCGCCTGCTGCTCGGCCTCGGCCTGCGCGGCGCGCTCCTTCGACAACTCTGACGGGTGTGGTTGGCAAAGGGTGTGGTTTGCAACTCGCACCTGGGGGGAGCATGCACGACGACCTCGACAGCGATCTCTGCCGCGCCCCGGCGAGGGCTCATCAAGCCTTTGGCGCACCGCGATGACTCCTAAGCTCTAAGGGCGCAGATCGCAAACCACACCCCCGCGTAGCCACGCCCCTTGTAGTCGCCGACTCCTGCTCGGCGGCCAGCACCGCGGCTGCCTGCCGAGACTGCTCCTCGCGAGCCTGCGCCTCCTGCGCGGCGCGCTCCCGCTCGGCGGCCTGCGCGGCGGCCGCCTGCAGGGTCTGTTCCTCGCGGGCCTGCGCCTCCTTCGAGGCGCGTTCCTGCTCGGCCGCCTGCGCCGCGGCCGCCTGCCGCTCCTGCACCGCCTTGGCCAGCGCTTCGGCCTCCGCGGCGCGGGCTGCCTGCTGGGCAGCGGCCCGTTCCTGCGCCTGCTGGGCCTCGATCGCCTCCCCGAGCTCGCGCTGCTTGGCCTCCAGCGCAGCCTCGAGCCTCTGCTTCGTTTCCCGCGCCTCCAGCTCGCGCTGCTTGGCCTCTTGCTCGGCCGCAGCCTGCGCGGCGCGGCTCTGCTCGGCGGCCTGCTCGGCGGCCGCCCGCAGGGCCTGCGCCTCGCGGGCCTCCGCCTCGGCCTGCGCGGCGCGGGCCGCCCGCTCGGCGGCAAGCTCCTCGGCCCGCTGGGCCTCGGCGGCTTCCTTGAGCTCGCGCTGCTTGGCCGCCTGCTCGGCCTCGGCCTGCACGGCGCGGGCCGCCTGCTCGGCGGCACGCTCCTCGGCCCGCTGGGCCTCGGCGACCTCCCTGAGCTCGCGCAGCTTGGCCTCCTGCTCTGCCGAAGCACTCGTGGCGAGGGCAGCCGCGGCCGCCTGCGAGGAGGCCTGCTGCTCGGCCCGCTCGGCCTCGGCGGCCCTGGTGAGCACGCGCAGCTTGCCCTCCTGCTCCTCCGCGGCGCGCGCGGCGCGGGCCGCCTCCTCGGCGGCCTGCTCCTCGGCCCGCTGGGCCTCGGTGGCCTCCTGGAGCCGCTTGGCCCCCTGCATTGCCGCAGCCTGCGCGGCCAGGGCCGCCCCCTCGGAGGCCTCTTCCTCGGCACGCTGGGCCTCGGCGGTCGTCGCGAGCTCGCGCTGCCTGGCCTCCCGGGCCGCCCGCTCGGAGGCCTGCGCCGCGGCCACCAGCAGGGCCTGCGCGCCGCGGGCCGCCTGCGCCTCGGCCTGCGCGGCGCGCGCGGGCGCCTCGGCCCCAGCGGCGCGCGTCGCCTGCTCGGCGGCCTGCTCCTCGGACAGCTGGGCCTCGGTGGCCTCCTTGATCACGCGTTCCTTGGCCTCCATCTCAGCTTCTAGCCGGCGCTTCTTCTCCGACAGCTCGCGATCGCGCTGCCGGGTCTCCAGCTCGACCTCCGCATGCGCGGCGCGGTCCTGCTCCTGGGCCTGCGCCACGGCCACCTGCAGCGCCTGCGCGTTGCGGGCCGCCTTCTGGGCGGCCTGCACCATGGCCTGGTGGGCCTCTGCGGCCTCCTTGAGCTCGCGATGCTTGGCCTCCAGCTCATCCTCAGAGGAAAAAAAACAACATGCATAAACAGATACTCTTGGAGGTCCGTGAGGATTTGTTTTGCATCGGCGCTGGATCCCCTGGCTGGCGCGCAGAGCGCGCCAGGGGCGGCGCCCGAGGCGCCGCCAGGGGGGCACAGCGCCGATCCAAGACGTCCGCGCGGAGATCCGAAAATTTATGGTTATCAAGTTTGTTGTTCCTCGATTCCTCAAGCCTCTGCTTCTGAGCACTGACCTGGCAGGAGAGCCCAGAATCGCATCGATCAATCGGATCGGCGATCGAAATTAACCAGATGTGTGGAAACCGGCAGCCAAGTCGGGAGACGCCGAATCGGCGGAAACGGCAGGCCAGAAAGGCCCCCACTGGGAAACCGAAGGCCAAATTGGACTCCGAAGGCGAGACGAAAATTCAGATTGGAGCTGGAGTCGATCGGCATCGAGCCGAACAGGGTCGGAGGAACCCAACCGGGCCCTACCTGGTGCTCGCGCTGCCTGGTCTCCAGGTCGGCCTCGGCCTGCGCAAACTTGGCCTTCTCGGCGGCCTGCGCCACGGCCAGCTCCAGCACCTGCGCGTCGTGGGCCGCCTGCTGGGCGGCCTCCGCCTTGGCAGTCTGGGCCTGCTCGGCTTCCTTGATCGCGCGCTGATTGTCCACCAGCGCAGCCTGGAGCGCCTCCTGCTTCGCGACGAGGTCCTGGAAGAAGTCAGAGGCACAAACAAAAACGTTCGGAACTCCGCGCGGACTTCTTGCGTTGGCGCTTGGTCATGTCACGACTTGCGCCGGCACCGTGTGGGAATTAGCTGTCCCTAGTCATTCCCAGGCGAGGCCAGCGCGAATGTGACGTGACGGGCCCATCCGCCCCTCCCGTCCGCCCCCCGGTCACGCCCGCTGTCGCCAGGGGATAGAAAACAGGTTTCCAGGCGGCCCCCAAAGTCTCGACCCTCCCCAGGGCAGGTGCGTCATCCAGAGTCGTGTCTTTAGAGGCCTCCTAGATGGGGTCGGAATAGATGGGGTCGGAGAATCGCGCCGCATCGCCGATACATCGGCGATGCATCGGCGATGCATCGGCGATGCACCGGCGACGCATCGCCGACGCCGATGACGCATGGACGACGTCGATGTGAAGCAAATCGGGCTTTATATCGAGCCGCATCGGCGATGTATCAGCGATGCGGCCCGATCCTCCGACCCCGCTTACTCCGACCCCATCTAGGAGGCCTAGAGTTTTGACTGTCCCGAGGCCCGGCGAGCCCCCCTGGAAGCCGAAAACGGCCAAACACCGCCCGTCGTGTGTGGCTTTCTCACGACGCTGGGGGATCGATCTGCGGAGACCTCGACAAGCGGTGAACCTGGATATACTAGGGCCACTTCCTCATCCCCCTCCTCCTCCTCCTCCCCCTCCTCCTCCTCCTCCTCCTCCTCCTCCTCCTTCTCCTCCTCCCCCTCCGTCCACTCCTCCTCCACCTCCTCCTCCTCCTGCTCCTACCCCTCCTGCCCCTCCCCCTCCTCCTCCGCCTTACGAAATCTATAAGCATCCACTGCTCCCCTGGCCAGGCCCATCCTGAACCCAACAGCGGTGTATACGCCACGCCCTTCTGGCTTGGCCAGGAGGGCGTAGTTACACAGCTCCTGGTCCCAATGCCCGGGAGGCAATGAATGTGTATAGATTCCGGCGCCCGACATCCTGAGGAAAACGAAGTATGACATAAGCATAAAAACTCGGAGGTCCGCGCGGACTTCTCGGATCGGCGCTGAACCCCCTGGCAGCGCCTCGGGCGCGGATCCGAGAAATCCGCGAGGACCTCCGAGTTGTTATGTTTATGTCATTATTCAATCCCTTATGTCGGGAGCGGCCAATAGGGGGGTGTCCAAGAGGGGGGGTGCAAATCATAACCGGCGGCATGTGCGCGGCCCATGGGGGGGGGCCAGGGACGTAATGAAGCAAGAAAAGGCGCCATGAAATCTGGGGATATATCATGGCCCACGCCATGAGATCCACCCCCCCCTCAGTCATCACCAGCCTCTTTGCCGCCCCCGACTATGTTCCCCTACACGTCGGTCGGAAGAAGTAGATAGAAACATGAAGTAGGAAGGCGGATATAGTAGATTGGGTCCAGGTCCCGCCAGAGAACAACAGACCATAGCAAAAGCATGCCGATTCTTGAGATAGGAAGGCGCTCGAGGTAGATTGGGATCTGGGAATCCGAAAATACCTACTTTCCAACGACCGGCGTGTCTGTTCCTCCTTCGAGATCCTTGAGATCGCGCTGGATGCCTTCCGACTTGGCCCGCAGCTGCTGCACGTGGCCCACCTCGGCCTGCGCGGAGCGGTCCTGCTCGGCGGCGGCGTCGCGGGCCGACTGCTCGGCGGCCTTCGCCTTGGCCTTCTGGGCCTCGAGGAAGTCGTTCAGCTGGCGCTGCTCGTCAAGGAACAAAAAAATAACATACGGCAAGCTCGCGTCGTGTCGACCCCGGCGTTAGTTTCTGACACCGCGGGGATCGTTCAACCTTGAAGAACGGTTGGCCCTTCCCGGAACGTCCGATCGTTCAACATCGACCGATTCTGGGTCGCCAGCGGCGTTCAATGTTGAACGCCGGCGGCGGGGTCGCCGCCGGTCGACACGACGCGAACCTGCCGTACATCGGCGGCGAGCGCAGGGGGGAGGTAAGAGAGAGCAGGCCTTCTCAAAGGCGGCGGGGCTTCTCAGAAGCCCTCTGGCCTTGTGAGAAGCCGTCCCTGCCCTCGAAGAAGGCAAAGATAAAATCTCAGGCTGGAAGGCTTCTGAGAAGCCCCGCCGCCTTCTGAGAAGGCATGCCCCCTCTCGTTTCACCCCTGGGCTCGCCGCCGAGAGACATGACCCTTCGGAGGTCCGCCCGGATTCCTCGGATCGGCGCTGGACACTCTCCCTGGCGTACGGAGCGCGCCAAGGGCGACGCCAGAGGCATCGCCAGGGGGGCCCGGCGCAGATTCAAGAAACCCGCGCGGACCGTCGAAGTTTTTATGTTTGTGTCATTGTTTGCTCCTCGAGCTTAGCAGCCTGCTCGCTTGAGAGCTTCGGAAGCTGGGTCTCGATGTACTCCTCTGAAGGGCCAGGCATCGAGCCGATGAGCCGAGTCGAGTCGAGCCATGCGTCGGGCTGGCTCGAGCCAGCGCGAATCGGGAAGACGACTCGGATCGGCAGAGGTCAGCAGGGCCAGAACAGGATCCGATTCGAAAACGGGCGGGGGAGACGCAGATCGGTATCGAAGTCGAAGCCACTTAACAGGCGAAGAACGGGATGTGCTAAAATGTTTCGCTGTCGGGGGCGACTGTCCCAGGACGGCTGGAAAGTTTATACCCTGACGGTGGCAGGTTAAGGTATAAGCTTTCCAGCCGCCCTGGGGCAGCGCCCCCGGCGATGGAAAAGTTTATGTTATACCGTCCTTCGCCCGCTGAACCACAAGCGTGCGTGGCCCGCAGAGGTACTTCACCACCAGGCGGCAAGAAGCCAAGAGACACGCGCTCGACCGCCCCGAGAGGGGGCCGCCACTGCGTGCCTGCGCCAAACGACGGTGGCTGTCACGTGGTCCTGCGCGCAGATGGCGGCCTCATTGGATCGAGAGCAGCTGGTACCAGACACTCGATTGCCGACCAAAGGTGGTCTAGAAACGACCGGCCGGCTTCCCATGATTTGTTACGCTCGCCCGAAATATACACCATGCTAAGGCGTGGTGCCTGCGCATAGAACCGCGCGCCCACATGGCGCTGCGCAGACGACGTGCCATCTGTCATCGCGTGATTTGACACAGCCTCCGACCCGCCGCCAAAACAAGAATCCGATTGGCCTCAGTGGCAATCAAAAACACAGCCCGCGGTGGTGTGCCGCCCAAGCCTCGGCCAAGGCCGCGGCCAGGCCCCGACTCTGGGGAAACCAAACGGTACCGATGCCGCTACTCCCCGGACCTCTCCCAGGGTGCGTTCTGACCAGAATTTCGAGGCGAATCCAGCCGTGGCGACGAGGGCCTCCCAGGAGGCCCACGAAGGGGAAAACGGGCGAAGGGCAATGAGAGGTACGGGCACCTTTTCCTCTGCCGAGACTCCTTGAGCTCACGCTGCTTGGCCTCCAGCTCCGCCTGCAGCTGCTGCATCCGGGCCTGCTCGGCCTGAGCCGCGCGCTCCCGGTCGGCGGCCGCGTCGCGGGCCACCTGCAGGGCCTGCGCGTCGTGCGCCGCCTGCTCCGCGGCCTGCGCCTCGCGCTGCTTGGTCACCAGCTCGACCTCGAGCTTCTGCTGCTCCAGCGCCCTGAGCTCGCGCCGCTTGGGGCGCAGCTCGGCCTCGGCCCGCGCCGCACGTGCCGCCTGCTCGGCCGCCTGCGCCTTCGCCCTCTGGGCGTCGATGAACTCGCTGAGCTGACGCTGCTTGCCGGCCTGCTCCTCAGCACGCTCCCCGAAGAGCTCCTGGGCCTGCTCCGCCTCGTTGAACTCCTTGTGGGGGGGCAAGAATGACCGATGCCGCTACTCCCCGACCTATCCACGGGTGCGTTCTGACCGGAATTTCGAGGCGAATCCAAGCGTGGCGACGAGGGAGGGGTCGCGGTGTCGGTATATGTTCCTCTTCTGACCTTGAGCTCGCGCTGCTTGGCCTCCAGCTCGGCCTGAAGCTGCAGCACCCGGTCTGTCTGGGCCTGCGCGAAGCGGGCCTGCTCGGTGGCCTCCGTCTGGGCCGTCTGCGCGCTGGCACCCTTCAAAGACGGCGCGGCCTGCTCGGCGGGGGCCTGCTCGTCAGCCAGCTCGGCCTGCTTCGAGAACTGGCCGCTGATCTTCTGCGCCGAGGCCCTCTTCCTGCTCCAGGGCCATGCTGGTTCTGTGGCAACAGAAAGTGAGCTGGCCTGCTGGGCGGTACAGCAGAGGAGCAGGAAGAGAAGGGCGTGCGCCGAACACTGCATTGCAGCAGGCTGTACCTGATGCTGCCAGCCCAAAAAGTTGGAACGAAGACGATTCGGTAGAGTTAAATTACCCACACTTCATATATTTGCGATCCAACCTCGCCTGAGCCAAACGAATACGGACCCTACGCGCTCACCTTTCTGGGACAAAGCCGTGAACTTCCACATCATCATCGCCACCACGTCCACCACCACCGTTATACTCTCTATCCCGTTTCCTTATATATATATATATATAAATAAACTCCTAGGCGTGTAGGTAGGGCGGGCCGGGCCGGGCCTGGCGGGGCCGGGCGCTTCGCCCGAGACTCCCTCACCATTGATGATCCTGAAGCTGAATTCTGGAATGTACAACAGCTTCACGGATGGAGGGCGTGCCGTTTTCAAAATGTGGCTTGTAGCACCGCGCACATGTATTAAACAAAAAACTCGCACGAGTCTCACGGATGGAGGGCGGGTGCTTTTCAAAATGTGGCACTCGCCACAGCGCCGCGCACATTCGTCCCAACAGTTTGCAAGGGTTTTATCGGATGGAGAGTGGTACCTTTTCAGAATGCGGCGCTCGCCTCAGCGCCGCGCACATTCGACTTAAGATTTCACACAGTTCCCAGGACTCTTGTGGCTGACGTCCAGGAGTAGCGTTTTGGCACGATGTAAGGCTTTCAGGGCGCAGCAATAACTTTGGTTCGCGGTGCTGACATCCCAGGAATGTTGTTCTGGCACGGTTCACGATGGCCAGGACCTATCAGTAACTTTGGTTCGCGGTGTTGACGTCCCAAGAATGAATGGTGTTCTGGCACCATCATCATCATCATCATCATCATCATCATCATCATCATCATCATCATCATTATCATCATCATCATCATCATCATCATCATAATCATCAGCACCGTCATCATCAGTAGCATTGCAATCACCATCGCCATCATGATCATCACCATTACCATCATCTACAACATCAACATCAACATCATCATCAGCATCATCATCCTCATCCTCCTCCTCCTCATCAACATCATCATCATCGTCGTCATCATCATCGTCATCACCGTTACCGTCATGTAGTTATCTGCATCGTCAGCATGATCACCATGATCACCAATATCACCAGCATCACCAGAATCGTCCGAACCATCATCACCATGATCACCACCATCACTGTCACTGCCATTATGAGCATGAGCATTCCCAATATCATCGACATCATCATCATCATCACCATCACCATCACCATCACCATCACCATCACCATCACCATCACCATCACCTTCACCATCATCATCATCATCATCATCATCATCATCATCATCATCATCATTCAAGGGGGCGTAAGACCCGGGTACAGGGGACTCGGAAATCCCCGACGAGGTCGTCAAAAAAATGACAAGGCCGAGCCTGCATTTTGACGAGGCCTCCCGCTGCAGACATCCCACGAAACTCCTACTCGTCAAAATCCAAGTCGCGGTCGTCAAAAAACGATGGCAAACCCGAGTCCTGGCAAACCCGGGTCTTACGCTCCCCCGAATCATCATCATCATTGTCAGAATCGTCGTCGTCCTCCTCTTCCATCCTCCCACCCTCCTCCTCCTCCTCCTCCTCCTCCTCCTCCTCTTCGTCATTCTCCTCTGTCTCCCCAGGGGTTCTGTCCTTAACACGCGTGGGTTGGCCCGTCCACCAGAGACAACCCCAAACCATGGATGTTATGAAACTTCCGCGGGATGGGCCACAGGCCCGCCCTCTCCCTCTCTCTCTCTTTCTCTCTCTCTCTCTCTTTCTTTCTCTCTCTCTCTCTCTCTCGCTACTCTGTTCACCTCGCATATCTACCCAACTCCCGCTACTGACCCTTCCCTCACCGGCACGGCAACAACTCTGTCTATCTCTCTCTCTCTGACTTTCACTCTCTCTCACTCTCCATCAATATCTCTTCATCTCTCTCTCTCTCTCTCTCTCCCTCTCTGACCTTTTTGATCTCTCCCTCTCACTCAGCTATGGCGTAGATTCCAAAGTATCTGTTATACACTCTCTACCCGCTCTGTTGACTACTCTCTCACACACTATGATAATGGTCACAGGTACTACCTCTCTTTATCAATATCTAACTCTCTCTGTCACGCACTCTACCTTTCACTCTCGCTCGCTCTCTCTATCCCTCTCTCTCTCTCTCGCTGTATAGGAACAGTTATTTGCACCATATCTGTCTCTCTCTCTCTCTTTCCCCCCATTTCTCTCTCTCTCTCGCTCTCTGTCTCTGTCTCTGTCTCTCTCTCTCTCTCTCTCTCTGTTCATAACCTGTTTGGCAAATCTGACCTCTCAGCCAGCGAAGCTCTCTATCCTCTGATTTGTACTCTCTATTCTCTCTGCTCAATGCTGATCTCTACTATCTGGTGTGTACTCTCTACTCTCTACATCTACTCTCTCAACATGAACGCGTTCCGAAGGATGCCCGGCGCGTGGCAGCGACCAACCAAAAACTCGAGAACCCAGAAACTTTGTTGTGCGAGGAACCTTTGAGCCAGGAACCTGTAAACCCGCCGCCCACCCAAATCGGCCTGGAAACCGGGCCCGGGAACCCAGCTGCCCACCGAAATCACCGAGGAGCTTTCGCCAATCTTTCAGTATCCGCAAGGTCTTGTTGGTCCAAATTGTTGGGGAATGAGTGGCTTGTCGAAAACGTATTTGAGACTCTGATCTGGTGGTTTGGATCTGAAGTGGGGTAGGGCAATCACGCAGTGCTCACTGGCCGATGAGGGGGCTTAGTTGAGCCGTGGCTCATGGCACGCAGGGTGGCGTGGATGCACGTCAGCTGGAAGCCTGGGCATTCGCACCTTCTCGTGCCCCTCCCCCTCCACTCCTCGTCGGACACGTAGGATAGTAATGGAGGGCGGGCTGCTTCCGAAATGTAGCCATCGCCTCATCGCCGCGCACGTTCGTGTGAAGCAAGCATTTGCAATAATTTCACGGATTGACGGCGGGCCGTTTTCAAAAAAAACTTTCGCCGTAGCGCCGCGCACATTCGTGTTAAGCATGTGCAAGAGTTTCACGGATTGAGGGCGGGCCGCTTTCGAAAGGTGGCTCTCACGTCAGCGCCGCGCGCATTCGTCTTAAACAATTGCAAGATTTTCGCGGATTGAGGGCGATCGTTTTCAAAACAGGGCTCTCGCCTTAGCGCCGCGCAGACTCGCGTTAACACTTTGAAGGAGTTTCACGGATTGAGGGCGGTTTCTTTTCAACATGTGGCTCTGGCTTCAAAGGCGCGCATATTCGTCTTAAATAGTTGCAAGAGTTTTACGGGCTCCCATGGTGAACGTGCCAGAAATGGCGTCTTGGAGCGACTCAGGATTGTCAGGGCGGAACAGTTACAATGAGCCGCGATGTCGAAGTCCCAGGAATGGTGTTCTGGTACAATTCAGGGTCGACAAGACGCAACAGTCAAATTGATTCGTGGCGTCAGTCTTGAGAATGGTTTGGCACGATGCAGGATCTCCAAACGGTTGTCTCCCATTGGAACGCTTCCTGTGGTGGAAATGAATGCGTGTAGGTGTATATGAATAGGGAGCTTGGAGGGATGGCTTATTCCAACATCGTTGACGACTCTTGGGTCTACGCTGGTCCTCCTTCTCCTCCTGGTCTTGGTTTTCCTTGTCCTCCTCCTGGCGCGTAGGCGGTCTTTCTTGTCATCCACCTGCTCCTCCTGCGCCTCCTGCTCCTCCTCACTATCATATCATCATCCTCATCTGCACCCTCGAAACACGTCTGAACCCCCTGGGGCACCCTAAAACCGCATGCGACATTCTGCAACCCACAAACAATGCCTTCCACTTGCCCACTCCGACTTCAGAGGTCCCTGGAGTCCCTCCCAACAAACAACTCAAGGAAGCAAAACAACAAACACAGCAAGCAGAGCCCCGAACAGAAAATTAAAACTACGACGGCGGCGACGACGACGCGCCGTTGCGTAGTGGGGGCCGCCTGGCAATAGGACACCTGCGACTCCGAGAAACCAGCGGGGTCCTCGGACGAGGAGGGCGGGATCGTCATCTCTGCCGACGCCAACACCGCCTACACCGTCGCCTTCAACAAGGGCGAGTGACGACGAAGACGACGACGACGGCAACGACGCTGACGAGGGCAACCACGAAGAGCACAACTACGACGGCGACGACTAAAACGGTCAGCACGACGAAACTACCAACCCTGTGCTAATTAGTTTTTGGTCTGGGATACTTCTCCTCAAAAGCAACTTGCTGGTATCACGGAGCACCTCGCGGAGTGCCCCCCCAGACCAGCGCGAGAGATGGCACGCGATACCTGCCAGGTCCGAATGCGTCCCGAAAACGACTCATGCTGGCTGGCTGGCTGGACCCTCCCGGGCAGAACTCAGGTCCGCGGGCAGGGTCTCTTCAGCACGACCTGCCGGGCGGGAGGCGAGGCCGAGGAGCCCCAAGCCCGACCCGGCCCTGGGCACCACCAGACGACCCGAGAGAGGCGAGGAGGCACCGGCGACCACGGAGCAACCACGCAGGGGCCGTCCTCCAGAGCACCCGCGGCGCGCCCCAGGGGGGGGGGCTCACAGCAAGGCCTCCGGCCGTCCCCTGGGGACACCACAGAGGTCGGGAGCGGCCAAGAGGGGGGCGTCCAAGAGGGGGGGTGCAAATCATGGCCAGCGGCACGTGCGCGGCCCAGGGGGGAGGCCAGGGACGTAATGAAATAAGAAGAGGGGCCATGAAATCTGGGGGAATATCATGGCCCACACCATGATATCCCCCCCGCCCTGGTCATCACACCCCTCCTTGCCGCCCCCGGAGAGGTACCGACGCCGCTGCTCCTCGGACCCCTCCCGGGATGCGTTCGGACCAGGATTTCGAGGCAAATCCAGCGGTGGCGACGAGGGCCGCCCAGGAGGGCCAAAAAGGGGAAACGGGCGAAGGGTAGAGGTATGGGTACCGTTTTCCTCGTCTGGGACTCCTTGAGCTCACGCCGCATTCGCCTCGAAATTCGAGGCGAATGCAGCGGTGGCGACGAGGGCCTCCCAGGAGCGAACACGAGGGAAAGGTAGCGGTTCCGAGACGCTCCGCCGCCTGCGGAGAAGGCCTGCTCCTTTGCTGGCCAACTCGAACGGTTCGTCCAGCTCATGGCTGCGTGCTCGTGTTCTGCCTTCGTCAAAGGATCCGCAAACATCGTCGCCCCAGTATCATCAAGGTCCAGATGCACACAGTCATCACAAGCACTTTTAGGCCATTGCTGCCTCCAACTGTTTGATGTGCGCGTGAGCCTGTCGCAGCTGGGTTCGACATATCCCATGGCTTGGCGGCTCCTCCAAGGAGGAGGAGGAGTAGGAGGAAGGATGAGGACGTAGGTGGAGGGGGAAGGATGGCCGCCAGGAAGGAGGAGGAGGAGGAGGGACGGCTTAGGATGGAGGCGAACCCTGGAGGAGAAGGAAGGAGCTGTCTCTTTGCCGCATTTTCTCCTCTGTCCTCCCGCCTGCTGCCTCTCAGGCCACTCATACTCAGACTCGCTCATACTCATACTCATACTCATACCCTCTCAGACTGAAGCCCAATCACACTTAGACCACTCGCGCTCAGGTGCTCTCACACTAAGCTTAGTCATGCTCAGACTCGCACACATATATTCATTCACACTGAGACTCACTCACACTCAGACTCGCTCGCACTCAGACTCACCTGGACCCAGACTCTCAGACTCAGCCTACTCGTACCCAGCCTCTCTCGTACCCAGACACTCGCAGCGGAAATTGCCAGGAAACGAGGTGCACAGATGGGGATGTCCGCGTCGAGTACTTGAGACACTGCTCTGTCCACGAAGGCTGCACTGCTACTGACTAGCCGAGGAGATCAGTAAGAGTGCGACTAATATGCGGCAATCCTCTGCTCCTGGCCTGTCAGCCAAACACGGATTCAAGTATTCTGCGCGCACTGGAATGCCCAAGGAGACTCTCGCGGTCCCACCCGCGTGGGCGTTACACTTGCTCTGGGCTTGTTGCACTCCAGCCTCTTCTGTCGGCTCAGGGGTGGGCCCAGGCTCGCGGACCGCAGTGCAGCAACGGCGGCAATGGAAGTCATAGTGGTGTTGGTGGCAACAACCGTGATAGTAGAATTGGAAGTAGCAGCAGCAGCAGCAACAATACCTGCGATAAGTCTTTAGACCCCCCCGACCACGGGACAACTAATTGTTTATTCGCCCGCCTTATTGAGGGACTGGGGTCTCACAAATAGGGGGTTACATTTTTGTCCAAGGCAACCGCCGCGCAACAACAACGACGACAGCTAAGACTACGATTGCGACTACGACTATGACTACGACTACGACGACAACAACGACAACGACGACGACAACGACGACGACAACGACGACGACGACTTCTACTACTACTACTGCCTCAGGAGCGGCTCCTTAGAAATGGCACGAGGAGGCGCGGGGTGAGGACGAGGAGGAGGAACAAGAGGAGCAGGAAGAGGAGAAGAAGGAGGCGGAGAGGGGCAAGCTAGGTTCGCTAGCGTGACATCTGACGTCCTACCCCTCCCTCACATCCTATACAATGGCGTAGATCTCTTATCTATTCGCACAGTCAGTTGTCGAGCAGGGCAATGATCCCAGGAGGGTGCGCAATGGATGGCAGAGCATGGCGTATGAGACTACGGCAGAGCATAGCATGTCATAGCATGGCGTGGCATTGCGCAGTGAAGTCTTGCATTACAAAGCATAGCAACGCAAAGCATGGCATCGCACAGCGGTGCGCAACACAGCATCGCATTGCATGCCGTGGCATGGCACCATATGATTTGGAGGGTACATGACCCGTCTGCGAAAGGACACGGCCTGTCCAGAACGCTGGCTCCATGTCCTCCGCAACCGTGGCTGCCCGATGAGGGCGCTCTCGAATGCCAAATGCCGGCTGGAGGCGCGGGAACGAGGCCAACGCTGCAGCGGGAGCACGATTTTGAATGACCGCAGCACGGAAATGAGGGCGGCGCTGCAGCGGGAACACGATTTTGGAAGTAACAGAAACGACCGGATTGAAACATTGTTGGAAGAAACAGAAACGACCGGATTGAAACAACACATAGGAACAACAACAAATAATGAAATCCTGTAAAAAAACAATTCGCGGCCAGGACGGGAGACTCTCAGGACAGAGTTAGAGGAGAGATGAGAGTAGTATTCATCTTGTGCAATTGTGAAGGAGGAAGAGAAGGAGGAAGAGGTTTTAGGACCAGTCCTGTTCACCGCCGAGTGAATCGGGGGGGGGATCAACACTAAGCAAGAGCACGTTCTGTGAGCGCTTGGAGGGGAGGGTCCAGAACCGCCCCCTCCCCCTTCCGCGCCTGCGCCAGCGCACGCGTGGGCGTGGGTGTGGGCGTGGGCCTGGGCGTGGACGCGCCAAACGGCGTGCCAGGGGACGTGGGAGCGGGGTTGGGCGTGGGCACCGGTGAGGGCGTGGGCGTGCGTGTGTGCGTGGGCGTGGGCGTAGGCGTGGGAGTGGGCGTGGGCGTGGTCGTGGGCGTGGGCGCGGGATTGGGCGTGGGCGCGGGTGAGGGCCTGGGCGTGCGTGTGAGCGTGGGCGTGGGCGTGGGCGTAGGCGCGGGAGTGGGCGTGGGCGCGGGCGTGGGCGTGGGCGTGGGCGTGGGCGTGGGCGTGAGCGTGGGCGCGGGCTTGGGCGTGGGCGCGAATGAGGGCGTGGGCGTGCGTGTAAGCGTGGGCGTGGGCGTGGGCGTGGGCGTGGGCGTGGTCGTGGGCGCGGGCGTGGACGTGGGCGTGGGCGTGGGCGCGAATGTGGGCGTGGGCGTGCGTGTGAAAGTGGGCGCGGGCGCGGGCGTGGGCGCAGGCGTGGGCGTGGGTGTGGGTGCGGGCGTGGGCACGGATGTGGGCGTGGGCGTGCGTGTGAGCGTTGGCGTGGGCGTGAGCGTTGGCGCGGGCGTGGGCCTGAGTGTGGGTACGGGCGTGGGCGTGAGCGTGTAAGCGTGGGTGTGGGTGTGGGCGTGGGTGTGGGCGTGGATGTGGGCGTGGCTTGGGCTAGGGCTGGGGCGTGGGCGTCGACATGGGTGTGCATGTGAGCGTGGGCGTTGTCGCGGGTGTGGGCGTGGGCGTGCGTGTGAGCGTTCGCGTGGACGTGAGCGTGGGCGCGGGCGTGGGCGTGGGCCTGGGCGTGGGTGTGGGCGTGGGCGTGGGCGTGGGTGTGGGTGTGGGCGTGGGTGCGGGCGTCGGCGCTGCCAGCCGCCGCCGCCGCCGAAGCGCCGCCGCCGCCGCCGGCGCGCCGGGGCTAGCGCCGGGGCTAGCGCTGGGGTGGGTGGGGTCGGGGAGGGGGGGAGGGGGGGGGGGGAGTCCCCCTGGTTCTGTTCGACGGCGCCGAATGTTCCCAAGGCAAGCGCCCTCAAAACGTGTTCCCTCAGAACTAACGACCTCCTGAGATGAGCAGCAGCAGAAAAACCAGTAGCCGCGGTGATGGTAAGAGGAAGAGGGGAAGAGCCTGCGACATGGGTTGTCCCGTGGGTTTCGGGAAGTACCCAGCTCGCGAACCGCGGAGGCGCCAGTGCCGTCCTTGGCGATCTTGTCACCAGTGAAGACAATGAGGGTACTCCCGACGCATCCACACATGAATATGCTGCCGACGAAGATAATCCGCTGGCCCACCAGGACCAATCGGGGACACGGCCCAACGCGTCTTCTGCACTCCGGGCCATTTCCTGCCCGAACATATTTCCTCCTCCCTTTTCCGTCCTGCCTCCTTTTCCATCATGTATCCTTCCTCCCGCCCAATTCCCTTTCTCCTTACTCTCTCACTCTCCCTCTCGCTCTTCCCTCCCTCGCCCACTCTCACCCTCCTCCTCCCTCCCCCGATACCCTCCTCCAATACCCTCTTTCGGCCCGTCCACTTCTCTGGCGCGTGGGAATTAAATTCAACGAACCAAAGGGCGTTCCACGGACTGGCCAACTCGGCACGACCAGGGCACTAAAGGCGACCGTCCAAATGTGACATATAGTGAAGCCATGCTACACGAGACCTGCAATCCCACCAGCCCTCTAGGCGAAATTAAGTGGTCCAGGGAGCTTCCTCTTCCAACCCCCTTTTCCCCCTTCGGGGGGGGTATCCCTTCCCCCGACCCCCTCCCCTGGACCTGGACGGAGCACCCTGCGAGGTGTCAGAGGGTACTTTCCCGCACGAGATGGTTCCAAAAGAGCCTCACAGAGCCCAAGATGACCTCCCAAATGGTTCAATATAACCCAAGATGCCTCAAGTCGTTTCCCAATATGCCCCAAGAGGCCCCTAAGAACACTCCAAGACGGCTCCAAGAGGCCGCCGATACCTCCAAGGAGGCCTCACGATAACTCCAGGAGATCTAAAAGAGCCCCAAGACGGCCCCAAGAACGCCGAAGACCGTTCCAAGAGTGCCCCAAGAGCGCCCCAAGAGGCGACTTTTGAGGCTCCCAAGGGGGGGGGGAAGGCGAATTAGGGAACCCCTCTTCTTTAAGATCGATCTCCCCCAAAATGGCCCCAAGAGCGCTCCAAGATGGCCCAACGAGGCGCCCAGACAGCCCCAAGAGGCGCCCACGATGCCTCCAAAAGGCTCCCAAGAGGCCCCCAAGAGGCGTCAAGAGGATCCCCGAGGCACCCAAAACGCTCAAACACGGCCCTGGGCTCGCCAAGATGCCCCTTCTCCTCCTCCTCCTCCTCCTCCTCCTCCTCCTCCTCCTCCTCATCCTCCTCTTCCTCCTTGTCCACTGTATCTTCCTTTGTCCTCCTCTTCGCCCTCCTCCTCCTCCTCCTTCTCCTCCACCATCCTCCCCCTTCTTGGGGTATCGGACGGCTTCCCCCGCCGTTTGATCTTCGGCATGTTCCCCCACTTGCCTGATCACCTCAACTCCCCTGGGCCTCGTTCCTGGATGGGCTGATGGGGATATTTTTTTGGTCGACGGCCCCGAGACAACGGTCAGGGAGCGGAGGCGACGTGTGGGCCACGGGCGAGGCTTACTGATGGGGGTATTTTTTTTCATGTTTTTTGGTTGTTTGATTGGCGGCTCCAAGGACAGATCCAGGAAGCGGGACGGTCTCGGCTGGGGCACAGGGCGAGATAATTAACGGCGACGGCGCATGAGCCGACGCAGCTAGTGCACGCGCCAAGGACAAAATGCCCCCCATTAAGATGCAGGCGACCCTCAAGCGGGAACGCAGGCATCGAAAAGAAACTGCCGGAGGAGAAGTCGCACAGCGGCGCCAGCTCAGTCCGTACCGACCAGCGCGTAAGGGCGTGGGTCACGCCGCGCTGTGGCAGCACGGGGGGGCCAGTGAGGCCGCACCGTCCAACACGACGAGGAGGCGAAGGAGCGGGGAAAGGCGGCGGGCGCCGCACGGGGGGGACAGCAAAGGGGGGGAACCGAGGAACGCCTCACTCACATGGACTCCTGGAAGTACACGGGCATCCGATGGGTTTACGCGAAGCGTCAAACAATTCCTGCTTATCCCCCTCCTCCCCAAACCTCCACGCGTCGAAAACAAACGCGGCCTAGTTCGCTTGCCATCTGAACGCATGGTAGCAATTTTCGGGAGACCTGGGAGACCACAACAAAAACTACACCGGAATACAAACCCTAAACGACAACTAGACAAGCGCGCTCAACTACTCGCAAAGTAACTACTCGCAAATGGCCTCGATCCACTGAGTGGATTTGCGATACGTTACATCAATGCAGGCGTGTGCTTTTCGGACGTTTGCGAGTAGACGCGTTGCGAGTAGTGGAACGCACTCGGTGAACAACGCTCCCTACATGACGAATCAACATCGAAACAGGCATGCACGGCTCGGGGGCGGCCAAGAGGGGGACGTCCAAGAGAGGGGGGCGCAATTCATGGCGGGCGGCATGTGCGCGGCCCAGGGGGGAGGCCAGGGACGTGATGAAATAAGAAAAGGCGCCATGAAATCCGAGGAAATATCATGGCCCACGCCACGATATCCCCCCCCTAGTCATGACCCCCTCTTGGCCGCCCCCGAACATGGCGAAGCAACATTGAGAACACTTCGCGCAGGCCACAAGAGGTTCTTAGAACATTCCTCGGTGGGCTTCTGGGAAAGCCAGGGCGCTTCGCCACTGCTTCAGGCACGGCACGGCACGCGGGCACGCGACGGCACGCGGGCACGGCACGGGCACGCGCACGCGCACGCGGCACGCGCACGGCACGCCACGGCAGTTGGCCGGCGCGAGGCCCTCGGCACCCCGAAGACCATCGGAGAGGCAGAGGCCACGACACGGCACGCGGGCACCGCACGGAGCGCGGGCACGGCACTCGCACTGCACTGCACGGCACGCGGGTGGCACATCTCTCGCCTTCTACGAGCGCGGGCACGGCAGGGCACGGCACCGCCCGCGGGCAGCACGATCCTTTTTGTTTTGTTGTTTGTTTGTTTTTGTTGTTTTTTGTTAATATATATATATACATGTATACATATAGCGGCCACGGCACGGCACGCGGGAACGGCACGGCACGCCACGCGGCCGCTACACATGTCACACGCGTTCTATATCTCCAGAACGCGATTGTTGGATTGTTGGTGCGACCTCGGCAAAAAGGACCCTACACCGCAACGCTGCACGCGAAGACCCCTGGTGCCTGAAAGCTAGCTCGGCACGCGCACGCGCACGCGCACGGCCCGCGGGTGCGGCGTGGCACTCGCACGGCACCGCGTGGCGTGCGCGCGGCACGGCACGACGCATCTTTCGCATTCTTGTCGGGCGTTGGCAGAACTGGGTTTAGTGGAACCTGGTTTAGTGATTTGTACCGGGTGCGGCCCCCCGTCCCATTTCCACTAACCGGAACTGCCGTCACCCGAAAAACACCAGTTACGGCAAACCTGGTTTAGTGAATCTGGAAAAATGAGGGGCCCCGGGGCCCTACAACTAACCGGGTCCCCTTACCCGGGGTCCTGGCTATACCCTTACCCGGGCTCCCGGGCACGCGCATGGCACGCGGGCACGGCACACGGCACGCGGGCACGGGCACCGGCACGCACGGCAGGGGCACGAGCACGCCCGGCACGGGCACGGCACGCACGGCAGGCGGGCGCGGCACGCAGGACACGAGGGCACGGCACGGCACGGCCCGCGGGCACGCGCACGGCGCGCGGCCCGCGGGCACGGCACGGCACGGGCACGGCACGGGCATGGCACGGCACGGCCCGCGGGCACGCGCACGGCACGCGGCCCGCGGGCACGGCACGGGCACGGCACGGTGCGTGCTTCGCGTTCATGCTTCGCGTTCTGGCTCTCAGACGTGCGCTCTCACGATACGAGCAGGGCCCCTTATCGCATTCGCTGCACAGGGGGTGCGCATGGGAAGTCTAGCGCATCCGCTGCTCGGGGAAGAATCCTGGGGACGGGGTCGGGTGCTCCACAGGGCACATGTTGTGAAGAAGTATGATGCCGTGTCCGACTGAGCAACGTCTGGGTAATCCTCCAACTCCTGATGCCTCTTGTCGCCGTGTCTGAGCGTGCCCCAAACATTTCGCTTCGGTCGTCCTCATCCTCGTCAGCGTTTGATTTTGCTCTGCTCATCCTCTTCGCATTGTCCTGTGACGTCGTGGGCACTGTCGGGTATCCGACGTCGTAAAATTGTGCACCCTCGATCCTAAATATATTCCGTTCCTGAGCCAGGTCAGTACGTGAGGGTCCACGCGCCCGACACGGGGCGAGCAGGGCCCATCCTGAGTTGCTCAACAACGCTCGGATCTGAAAGAAGTGACCAGGCGCCCACCTGGACACCAAAAAACAGAAAAGTCACATGTCACGGCCACACGCCGTGCCCGTCCACACGACTGACCTCCTCCCGCACCCATTCCTGCTCCTCCGCACCCTCCCTCCACCTCCTCCCCCTCCTCGTCCTCCTCATTCGTCACCTCCCGTCCTCATGAACCACTCATGACCGCACCAGCAGACGTGTCGGTTGGGCAAGCCAAGTGTATCGCTTGTAACTTCCTCATGCGATATGGTATTGAAGATTGAACGCGCAGGAGTTGCAAGGACGGCGGACAGGCCGAACACATCGCCTGAGACTTCCTCAGCCGACATGGCATTGCAGATTGAACGCGAACGAGTTACAAGGACGGACCGCGATGTTTCAAACTGTGGCTGTTGCCAGGGCGCCGCGCGCACTCCTCTTCAATACCCACTGGATGCACGGATGGGGGGTGGTCCCTGTTTCGCAATCAGGTCATCCTTCTAGACCTCCTGAGGCTCTGAACTACATGCTTAGTAGTACGGGCCAAATACACGCATGGAATGGGAAGGCGGATCCTTTTTCCAAATCTGGCTTTCGCGTGGATGTTCATCCGGCTGATGATCAGAATTCAGAGATGCAAGAGTGTGCAACAGGCGCTACACGGATGGAGAGGAACTCATTTTCAAAGGAGGGTTATCATCATGAGATGCATACCTCGTGGCACTTACTGTGGCTTGAAAGGTGCAAGGTGATTCATGTTCAAACTGAATGCAAGACCCATGGGCGTCTTTCAGGGCGGCCCCTTCCGTAGTGACAGGGGCTGTCTGTGGTGGCTTTTGAGAAGGGGACTTGCGACCTGAGTATTGCAATATGGTAGATGCACCCTGAGTGTAATATGGTGTTCGCCTTCACA